TATCTCTAGCTTTTCTCTCTTTTTGGGATTATCTAAATCAGGAACCAGAATTAGCTTGTGTGGTTTTTCCATTATAACAGGATTAAATAAATTTTTGTAATTGTCTTAGAGCAGGTGTGAATGCCATTCCTGGATAAGGATTGGAATACCCTCAAGGAGTAGAAATTTGTACTTTGGTTCCTTGAGAAAGTTGAGTTGGCCGTTGCTCAAACCCTAGAGGGTATATAGGATCCAACATGTATAGCGATAGTTCTTGAAAGCTGAGATTTTCTTCCATCACTTTTTCTTTATCAAGATTCCTGAGCATGTCCATTTATTTTATCAATATCCCTTTTTAGTTCTTCTTGAGCCTTCTCCATCATCTCAAATCGACTAGCCTATTTTTGTTTCATGATTCTTATTTGAGCTTTGGTGTTGTGTGAATAATGGGTAGGTTGAGTCAAAATTTTTGGTGGGTGAGCTGTTCTTGAACCTTTATCACCATAAATTTTTTTAAAAATCAGAATGCCACGCGTTAAAAATTTTATTTTTTAATTATTTGAATTTTTGAAAAAAATGTGCACATGATGCATGAATGCAAATGGGAGATATTTGCTTTTGGACAAATTTCAACACTAAAAATTCTCATTAATTCCATACAACTTTTGTTGCGTGAGATTTGAGTAAATCTATAGTTCTATGGGATCTATGAAGAACTTTTCAAGAGAAAGATGTCCTAAAACAAATACATCGATGCAGAATTGTATGATATGATTTATATAAAAATAAAAAGAAAAAGAAAACAAAATTGAGTTAGTCTGTGGTTTGAGATTAAAAAATGTCTTTTTGGTTTTGTTTTGTTTTCATTTTTTTGTGTTTTTTTTTTTATTACACACAACTTTTATTCTTACACATTTTAACTTAGGTATTTTCTAAGAAAAAGATGGGTGAAGCTTTACTTAAGGTTAGCTTCCTAGACTTATTACATGCCTAGTTCTGGTTGACATGCATCTAAAGGTTCTCAAATTGTTTCTTACTATCGTTTATGCTGGACTAGTAAGGCACCCCTATCCTCACCCATTATAGGCTACGAACTGAAATAGTTCAATTTGAGTTAAAGTATTTCACTTACTATTACGGAGATTATCACCTTACGAGGGCATTGGTATTTTACTTCCTCTTATAAGGGATGAAGTCGGGTATAGAGCTCATGTATGAGATGCATCGTGTCATTGTGTGTGCATATGTTTTTTAATATATTGAGAATAATACATAAAAAAAATAATAAAAGAAAGGCGTATAAAAAATTTTTCTTTTCGTTGTTGGTTTGCTTTTGATTTGTTTGGCTTTTTTTTTTTTTATTGAAAGTAAAAAGAATCTAGGAATTAAAAACTAAATATCGACTAAGACTGTTTAAATCAAGACTTGAAGATAACACGTAGTTAATTTTGGCCTGACTCTTGAAAACAAAATGACTTCTTCAATGAAGTCGCCAAGCTGTCGTAACGATTATAGAGTCGCTCGACGAATTTGAAAATGAAAATAAAATTAGAGAAAACGGAATCGTCACCAATCTTTTTTGGCTAGGTGCAATTAGCCACCTATTAAAATCTATCCTTTTAATAAGATTTTAAAATTAATTAAAAATATAATTTTATGGTCTACAAAACAGTCTGAGTTCGGGAGTCGATTACGCATAGAAAATGATTAGCACCTCCACGCACTCGTTTAAAAATAGTACCACTTAACTACGCGTTATCTTTTGATTTTGATAAAAAAAAAATCTCATTTTCGATGTTTGAAAAATAATTTTCTTGATTTTTTTATTTATTGGAAATTATTTTTTTATTTATTAAGTGCTTAAATTTTATTCGAGAAAAATAAATTAGAACTTTTTATTGAAATAATTCTTAAAATATTTCAATACGTTGGTAACATTAAAAGAATTCTTTCTCACCTAAGGATTTTTTAGGTATCGCTTCTCAGAATACCTTAGAATCTTATCTTCGAAAGACTTGAATTTATTTTTCTAAAAAGCAACTATATCATGCATGCAATGCAAATGATAATACGTTAGTGCACACATTTTATTTTACTCTTTAGAAATTTTATTGATTTTTATTATTATTTTTATTTAAAAATTTGAAGAAAAGAGGAATTTTTATTATATTAAAGATTTTCTATAAATATTTCAATATACTAATAATATTTAAGAAAAATCTTTTTACCTAGGGATTTCTTAAAACATCTTTACTCAGAATATTTTTAGAATCTTGTCATTGGATAAAATTTCTTTTTTTCTCATTTTTTATTACTTATTCTTAATTTATTAGTTAATTTTTTTATTATTTTATGATTTTTAAAAAAGGAAAATTTTTTTATTGTATTGAAAATATTTTTATAAAATACTCCAATATACTGGTAGTATTAAAAAAATTTTTCACCTAGAGATTTCGTAGGTATCACTATTTGGAATACCTACGAATCTCATCGTTGGATAAAAATTTTTTTTTTATTTTTTAATATTATTAGGTTTATTTTTATTTTTTAAAAAGTTTATTTTAAAAAATAACAAAATTATAAAAATTTTAACTACATATTTTATCATTTATTTTTATTTACTTCAACAAAATTTATTCTAACAAATATAAAAATTTTAATATGCATAAATATTATAAAAATAATATATATAAAAAAATAAAAAAAAATTTTACCTGAATCGGATCGATCAATGGTTTGGTCAACGCGGGTCCAATTGATTCGACGACTCGATTCGGTTTGGTTGGTTCAGCAGTTTGACTTTGTTCAACAATTTGAGTCGATTCAGTTCGGTTTGGGTCGGTTTAGTTGGACTAATCATAGGTTAAAGGGAAAATGGGTCATTGGGTCTGGTGCGCGGACCTCAGGTGGGTCGTGAGCTAACGAGCGGATCCTTAGGTCTCGAAATGACGTTATTTTGACGCTTATTGAAATGCCGTCGTTTTAGCCTTTGCAGTTTCTATAAAAGCCTAAATTTTTTTTTAGATAATTTCTTCCTCTCCCTTAAAAAAAAAATTCTCTCTCCCTCCCAACCTACTCTCTCTACCTCTCTCTCCAGTTGGTCACCGTCTGTCGTGTCGACCGTCGTTGGTGGTTGTTGGCCGTCGCGTCGATTACTGAAAAATCTCAAAACTCACCTACAAACTCTTCTCAATCTCCTAAATACGATCTGACCTTTTTTTCTCCAAAAAAGATCTTAAATTCCCTAGATCTACCTTCTAACTTTCGACCCTTTTGTTTTGGTATTTTGATTTGCTTGCTTTTTTTTTTTTAGATTGATTTTGTTTTTTTTTTCTTTTTACAGGGGCTCTCAACGCTGGATTCTCCATTCTAGGGGACTGTATTTTTTTATTATATTTTTGGTAGAATGCTTTTTTTTGGCAGGGTTTCTTTCTTTTTTTCTTTTTTGGGGACGGCTATGGGTAGATGGCACAAGGCCTGGCAAAAGGGGGTGCCGTCACCAACCTTTTAACCCTCTCTTGTTTCTTCTATTTTGTCTAACTTTGGCCCTATGCCTGGGTAAATGGCACAGGGCCTAGCAGGGGGTGGTGCCGTGCAAGGCACCGGCACCCCCTACCTCATTTGTTTTTTTTTTTTCTTGTATTTTTTATTTGTCTTTTTTTTGTTTAATTTAAAAAATAATAAAATAAAATAAAATAAAAAAATAAGAAGCTGGCTGAGCCTAAACAATGAAATCGAATCTCAAGCCCTATTGGATTTAAATCGGATTTCGGATTGAAAATCGAGTTACAAGTTTCGGAACAAATTTAATGTTTACACGACTCTAATAAACCAAACTTCCACTTACATATTTTATTCTATTTAGTGTATTTTCTATTCTTACAGTTTACCGATTTCATTTCCTCTCTGTTTCATTTCACAAACTAAATGTACCGTGAAGGATTCCTAAATTAATAAAAACCATTGTAAGAAATTTTAGATGTTTTTATATATCATATGCTATAATTTTTTATTTAAAATTTTAATTATTAAAATTAAAAATTCAGTTATCTAACAACAAATTACATGACTTTTGACAATAAATTTTATCCAATTAATAAAACTATATGTTTAAAATTCATATAAGTTAAAAAAATTTCATTTTAATGCCTCATAAATATTATTTACTTTTGTATCCAAGCACATTTTTTGTTCTTGACTTTGAAAAGGAAAAATTAGTAAAAATAAGAAAAAAGAATGAATTTTAATTATATAGATTTATTTATTTTGATAAAATTTTAATCTATTGAAATAGAACTAAACACAAGATATGTTGGCATGAGAAAATAGGCCAATGAAATGTGGAATGTCCCAGGCCTTAACAAGAGTTAGATCTGGCGGCAAATATTTTGGTGGATTCTCTTGGGTTCTTTTCAATTGATTTTGATTGCTTTTTCTAACAAACAAATGGTAAATTTCATCTACACGTCTTGTAGCTTCATTTTTTTTAAGTTGAATTTATTATTTTTTTCTTAAGAAGATTATCTTATTTATTTTATGTGATAAAACAATAAATTATTTTTTTAAAAGAAATAATAAATTATTGTTAAATGTGAATAAATAATATATTTTTTTAGTGAAAGGTATTTTGATAATTTTATTTGGTAAAATAGTAAATGTAGTGCTTTTTTTTAGAAAACATATCATAACAGTTATTTGTTAATAAAATATTAAAATTTAAATTTAAAAATCAAAATTTAATTTTTAAATCTTTAAATAAAAAAAAATCATATGCACTTTTCAATTGAAAAATTAATTTGTGGTTGAATTGAAAATTTTTTTTAAAATAATAGTAAGTATTAAAAAGTGATATATTAATATTTTTTCTTTACCAGAATATTTTCTTGGCCACCACGAGAGTAAAACACGTATATTTTCGTTTGAGAAAAAAAAAAAAGAAAATTCCTTAAGCTGAAACCACATGAAACAATTGCCTATTTGGCATTCAAATAGCCATATCTTATTATATTACTTTCTCTTAGCAACTTGGAAAGTTATTATTCACAAACTTCCCAAAAACATTTCTATCTCCTCTTTATCTGACTCAGAAAATTGTCCTTCTAAAAAAAAAAAAAACCCAACATAAACAAAAATTAAAGCACAAAATACAAAGTCAGATACCTGATTCTCCCTCTCTTCTCTTCTCTTCTCTTTGCCAGCCATGTAGTCGTACGAACGAGGATACACGCTCTCTTCTTCTCCAAAATAGAAAAATGGAGCCCCACATTCACATCATCACCTCTAATTTTAATCCTACTATTATAGCTCCACCTCACCTTCCACCACGACGCCGTCTCCCTTCCTTGACCCGCCACGTCACTCTATCTCTCCACGCTCATAACAACAGCGAGGATGCTCGCCGCCGCTCCGCCTTCGAATATTCCGTCGCTCGACGCGCCGTTTTACTCACTCCCCTCCTCGCCGCCGGCTCTTGTTTCTTCCAACAATCGCCGTACTCGCGGTCAATCGCCGAAGAGATGAAGTCACCTTCCCCGCCGGAGACTCCGCCTCCACCCAAGGCGGTGGAAGAGGAGGTGGTGGTGTCGGCGAGGATATACGATGCGACGGCGATAGGGGAGCCGCTGGCGGTGGGGAAAGATAAGAAGAAAGTGTGGGAGAGGTTGATGAACGCGAGGATTGTTTATTTAGGAGAAGCTGAGCAAGTTCCGATTAGAGACGATAAAGAATTGGAGCTTGAGATTGTTAAGAATTTGAGAAAACGCTGCGTTGAGAGCGAGAGGAGTTTGGCTTTGGCCATCGAAGCTTTTCCTTCCGATTTACAAAACCAACTCAATCAGTTCATGGCTAAAAGGTTGCTTTCTATTGCAATAATATCCATTTCCAATTAAATAGTTTGCCATTTCTAAATGTTTAATCCTGTAGATATTGAAAATTGATTTACATATTGTTATAAATAGAGACAATGTGTTACATCCTAGAGATTGGAATGCATGTGTATTAGACTGTTGTAAACGCTTGTAATTCTGAGAGTTATGTTGTTGACAGGATAGATGGAGAAGGACTGAAATCTTATGTTTCACATTGGCCAGCTCAAAGGTGGCAGGAGTATGAGCCCATTTTAAATTATTGTCGCGATAATGAAGTTCACCTTGTTGCTTGCGGAACTCCGTTAAAGGTACTCTTAAGTTGTCACGTATCACTGGGAATGTTGTAGTGCACATCCTTTTTGCATTAACTTTGCCAGCATCTTTTCTTTGTTAACTTGTTGCTTCATCAACTTATTGGGTTTGTGAAAAAAGCTGATTACTATAATTTCAACTTTTTTTTGAGTCCTAAACTGCTAGATTGTCTTGTCAGTTTGTTGTAATATATCCTATTAGTTACTATAATGTTCAAAAGACTCAATTTTGAACTTGGGTATATGCTACTTCTAGGTTTCAAGTCTGAATCTTGGGGATGGGGAGGGTTATCTACATTCTCTGATGTAATCCAAGATATTTGTGGTCTCATACGTAAAAAGAAATGAAAAAAGACTAAAATTTTGTTTTTCTGTTTGAGTTTCATAGCAATATTATGTTATCATTCTATCATTTTAGTTTGTGCACAAAGCCAATAATGAATATGGAGTATTCTAATTATTTTGATATAGATCCTACGGACTGTGCAAGCTGAAGGTATTCGGGCCCTCTCTAAGGCTGAGCGTAAGGCATATGCTCCTCCAGCTGGTTCAGGTTTCATCTCAGGCTTCGGTTCTATTTCACACAGATCATCAGTGGATAATCATTTCCCGATGCAGTCGATTCCATTTGGTCCAAGTTCATATTTATCTGCCCAAGCAAGAGTGGTTGAGGAATATAACATGTCCCAAATTATTCTAAAAGAAGTTGCAGATGGAGGAGGCACAGGTTTGTTAGTAGTTGTAACGGGTGCAAACCATGTCCAATTTGGCTCTAGAGGGACAGGGGTGCCAGCCAGAATTTCGAAGAAGATTCAGAAGAAGAACCAAGTGGCTATACTTCTTAATCCTGAAAGGCAGTATATAAGAAGAGAGGGAGATGTCCCTGTTGCTGATTTCTTGTGGTATTCCGCAGCCAGACCATGCAGTAGAAATTGTTTTGATCGTGCTGAAATTGCTCGAGTTATGAATGCAGCTGGCAGACAGCGAGATGCCTTACCCCAGGTTAGCTATGCTTAAGTCTTCATGGAAGTGCATATTTTATCTCCTTGACTTGATTAGTATTTAGCTCTTTTTGGACGCTTTTTTGGATTGATTCAAGGTTATTCCTTTTTTTCTCTTGTAAATTTTAAGAAGTGATTTCATCAATATCAACCGTTAGGCATTAGATACAGTTTGTGAACATTTTTTAACAGTTGTGGTTCAAAAGCAAATCTTGATGTTTTCAAACTTTTACGCTGAAGACACACACAATTGACTTTATAAATTCCAATATGTGATGGTTTAAACAAGTACACGAATTTGGATGATACACTTCTGGATATATTTTAAGGAAAAGGAATATGTTTGTCCTATTTTTAGGTGCAAAATCAGTATGGTTCTACCAGTTCCTTCCAGTGTGTTGACAAATACCAGAAGTAATAGTGTTTGACAAATACCAGAAGTAATAGTATTTGAAATTACTATCTTTTCTGTGTGTTTCCACATTTTACTTGAGAATGTTTTTGGAAAGACAGTTACCCCTTTTGGAAAATTTCTTGTGGTTAACGGTAACAGATCCACAGTATGGTAAAAAGAAAATGATAATGTGACTGATTTGCTTACATTTAAGTGACAAGAGAAGTAATGATAACTGCAAAGAAATGAGTCAATTATAAATTAAGTTCACTGAAATTTTGCTTATTTTATTATGTTTTTCAAAGGTGTGAAATGGGTTTTCTTTGATTATAAGTCTAAGTGCTTTTGTGAACAACTACGAAGCATCTTTTTTCCTATAATAGTTAGTTCCAAGATGTTTTTACAATTACTGTAGATCCTGCAATATCTTGTGTGAAATGACCGATTACAGTCAAAGAACCACAGTTCCCAATTAATTTTATTATTTCTTGATTGCTGCTAGAATGTTTCCATGAAATTATTGAATGCTTAGGGTGAACCAGGATAAGTTCCTTGATGTAAATTTTGAACTGAAGATTCCGTAACAGTTTATTATGGTTTTGATGTGCATGAGGTTGTTGGACATGGTATCTTTGTTGGTTAGAAAGCTATTTCTCTTCCTTTTCTTCTTCTCTCCCCATATTATTTGATTTTTATAAAATCAATAATTTATTTATTTCCTAAGGACACAACTTCCTCTTCTCATGAAGATTAATTGTGAAAAATGTGTAACAGGACCTTCAAAAGGGACTTGACCTTGGTTTAGTATCTCCAGAGGTGCTACAGAACTTTTTTGATTTGGAGCGATATCCTCTTATTTCAGAGCTCACTCATCGCTTCCAGGTATATTCACTTTCTAGAAATGAATTGTGTTGTAATTATGTTATTATTAATGTAGACTAATATGTCATGGTTTATCATAAAATTGCACATATCTCTCATGAGGATGATACATTTGTGTTTTTGTTAAGTGTATAGAGTAAACAAATCACTTACAAGATTGTCCTAGGCAAAAAGTGCTCAAGTTGACCATAGATCATTTTGGTACAGGGATTCAGGGAAAGATTGTTAGCAGATCCCAAGTTCTTGCACAGATTAGCTATAGAAGAAGCTATATCGATAACAACTACTCTCTTGGCACAGTATGAGAGGCGTAGAGAGAAATTCTTTGAAGAGCTTGACTATGTTATTACAGACACAGTCCGGGGAACAGTTGTTGATTTTTTTACTGTATGGCTTCCTGCCCCAACTATCTCATTCCTCTCATATGCTGATGGAGCTGACAACATGGATGCATTAAAAGGTGTCTTTGGTTCAATACCTGATAATGCATTTCAGAAGAATCTTGCTGGGAAGGACTGGAACCTTAGTCACAGATTAGTATCTGTGCTTGTTGGTGGTCTGAAACTGGCTAGTGTTGGATTTATTTCCAGCATTGGAGCTGTGGCTGCTTCAAATATTTTGTATGCGATTCGCAAAATCCTTAATCCAAAATTGGTATCTAACCAACAAATTAAAAGATCACCAATACTGAAAACAGCTCTTGTTTATGGAGGCTTTCTAGGGACATCTGCAAATCTTCGTTATCAGGTAAGAAGAATGATTGTCACATAAGTTTGGCCATGCCAAGAACTTAGCTTTATTATGAAAACTCTTCATTTTTTCTATAGTGCATCTGTTGTGTCCAGCATATCTAACACATTAAGTAGGTATTGAAACAGGAACATAGCTCTCCAAATATAAGGAAAAACTTAGGAAAAATTAATTTAACCTTAGAAAAATTCATTTACTTGTGTCAGAACTCAGAAACATGTCCTTGTCCAACATTCAGAGTCTGAGTAACATAGATTTTGGCATTTGTTAATGATAATTTAATAATTCCTTCCTCCATCCTGTGAATATGTAAGGTATGGGAATGATATATGTCGTATTGAATGCAAAAGAATGTTTGCTTTTCTTTCTGTTGGGAACTACTGTTATGATTTATCTAATCAAATGATCAGGAGAATTTGTGATGCATTTTCTGTTGGTAAACTCTGACTCCCCTGGTTTATTCGTGGATTCACACTAACCTTTCTCATTTGCAATGATGCATATTTGTACTTTTAGTTTTGCCTAGTATGTGCTTGATATAAAATTAAAATAAACTAAAAAATGCAGATTATTGCTGGAATCGTGGAGCACCGAATTTCTGATGAATTTTCTTCTCAAACCTTTATTGTGAATATGCTTTCCTTTTTTGTTCGGACTGTCAACTCCTACTGGGGAACTCAGGTTAGAATTTTCTTCATTTGTTACTTTCATTTCTTTAGGATTATTAATCTTATTGTCCACTATTATTTTTAGATCCTTTAGATCATGTCATGTTATAGCAACATTATCATAATTCTGAGGACCATATTATTGCAAATTATATAATCACATATTACTGCGTTAAATTATGTGGCCTGAGTGAAATTATTTCATTTAATTTGAACATGAATTGCATGGCTTACGTTTGAGATGAAGTTCATATTTCTTAGTTTCCGCATGGACTGTTACTTGCTTCATAAAGTTGATTAATTCACATTGAGATACCATTTAGTTTTGGATCCGTCTTACCACCATTACAACCAGTAATAGCATCCTGGTTGTCTTCTAGTAACAGTCATGCAGGTCTCAAACATTAACGTAGTTTTGTTGCTTACTTGAATGCAAACAGCAATGGGTTGATCTTGCTCGCTTCTCGGGACTGCAAACTTGGAAGAGTGAACAACCTTCTTATCAGACTCTAGATTCTCCTAATCATGCGGCAGTGGAATGCAATGCTGCAGAAGAGGCCAATATTGACGAATTCAAGAATCAGTAATTTACTTTTGTTTTTGTGCCCCTTTCAACCACAGTACCACAATACAAATCCTTCAACACAAATTCTTACAAATTTTGGAAAAAGGAAGGATGGCATTTGAGCATTTGCCGCTAATACGTTGTGAAAACATTGATTAAATACAGCTTGAAATCATCTAGTAAGAGAATGAATGGCTTCATCCTTGATTTTGAGACCTTTTCCTAAAACAAGATATCTTGACTTAAAAGCCCTTCTAGATATCAATTCGGTTTATGTAGATTTTGGCACAAAGGAAAGATTAACTTGCCTCGTAAAGCCACTGCTATAGCTTGCATTTATGAATTTTCCTCGTATCATTGACCCATAATGAGAGTCTCTGTCGCTAGCAAAGCAGGAAAACCCCAAATAATTTTAAACGTACCTCTATCTTTATGATCTGCCCATTAGATATGACAAATACGTGCACTAGCAAAAATTTGGACTCAATATTGGATGGTATTTGGGATGAGGGATCATCCTTGGACGGTACACAGTTCCTTTTCTTGTTATATATGTATTTATGCATACATACATATACATTCTGTTGTGTTATATATATTATTGCCATGTGTGCTTGCTTGTATTAAACTTGCGTTTAATGATTGTGAATCTATTTCTGAGCAATCCATTTTGGGCTTAGCTCAAGTTGTTGGCAAATCCTAGGTTCAGGTCGTAATACTCCTTATAACAAACAAAATAATAAATAAATAAATAAACCAAGAAAGGGTGTTTACTTAACGTTGGTGTTCTATTTTATAAAATTAAATATTAACAGTCACTTGTTATGAGAAAAATGCCCGCTTAAACAATGTCCTTACACAACTATTCTTGAAACAGGATTTTGGATGTGGCTAGCTTGGCCTATTATGACAGTCTAGGGATGTATTTAAAGATTAGAAAAGGGGAATAAAGAAATTTCCAAGTTGACAATTACTAGAACATATTTGTTAGGAAGCGTCTAAGCCATGGTTCGACTTGCTAGGATTTTGCTCTTCGTTCATTGTTTTTAGCAGCTTCTGCTTGACCATTTGGAAAGAATGCTCTAGATTCATCAACTGCATCATTGGACATAACATCAATGTCTCTATATTATAAATTTGTTGTACAGTACAAAGTAGATCAATTTCAAAAAAGTGCAAAACTCTTTTTAGAACACGGGGATGGGATGGGATGGGAAGGCCACATACCTCTTGTTGAGCAAATCTGTTATGGATGAATAATCCGCTGAATAGATCGAAACTATCCTTGGTGGTGCTCTCTTTCTGCAATTGATCTCATATCAATGCATCCCTTAAACTTCAATTTTATAATATATGTTTCCAGTGGTACTCTTTCTGAGAAGTTGGAGCAGAACGGGAAAAGGAAAAATGCATTACTTTAAGATAACTGATTTAACTTACCAATCTAACTAGTGTTTCGAAGCTTTTGGTGTTTATTGATGTGGTTTCAGTTCCCATTTCTGACAAAATCCTATCAAAGTAAGAAGCATAATTTTTATTTTTTATCACAACCAGTCCTCAGAAGGAAATAAGGTTGAAATAAGATTAGGGTCACTTCATACCTGCCGACAGCGTGAGAAAGAAATTGACTCCTAGCAGCCAGTTTGTCATGTTCTTCACAAGACATTTCCATCATTCTGCAACCCTGTCCCAACATACAAAACGTCGACTCTCAACTCGGTGTAATGTCAGCACTTTGTAATGAATATTGCATTAATTCCGAGGATTGGATTGGATTACCTCAGATTCAAAGATGTGTAGGAAACTCGAGCACGTAGCTTCATCCCTCACCCTAACTTTGTCATACATGAAAGCGAGATCTTTCCACCCATTTTTGCCACTTTCAGGTCCAAACATGGGATGGGTGCAGAGCAGGTCCATTTCCTGTGGCAAAACCTGAACAAAAAGCACCTTCATTTTCAACCTGACCAATGGTTGAAGAAAAAAGCATAATATAATACATACTTGCAATAGAACGTTTCTGGGGTGTTCTTTGACTGAAAGCACGTCGACGAAGAGCGTCTGCCGTTTAAGAGAAAGTAATGGCATTGATTTGAGCACCTCTGATAGAGATAGGATTGATGTGCAAATCAGTATCACATCGTTATCTGCTTCCATAAATGCAAGTACATCCCTACAATGCAGAAACAAGGATTGCACAAAAATGAATGTATTGGCTTTGCATAAATATCCGTTTATATATATATATATATTAATTCTACCTGGAGAACCAAATACCCAGTTGATCACAGAGCTGGGAATAATCGGTGCGAGAAGTTGCCGTTATGGTATGGCCTTGTTTGATCAGTGTCTTTGCCAGAAACTGACCAAATGTGCCAAAACCGACTATGCCTATTTTTAGAGTTTGTGAAAGCAAGGAAGAAGATGAAGAAGACATGGCTTGAGGCAGACAAGAAACTCAGCAAAGAAAGAAAGAGAAGAGGAGGTGGGGGGGAGAGCCGTGCTTCACTAGGGCTAAGAAAACTCCAGGACAGGCGGCTTGTCCTCTTGAAATAGAAAATTTTGACAAATGCATATTTGGTCCCTTCCTTGCCGCTTTATGAATATTGACCCAAGATATTTCTGGACCTTGACCCAGCTAGCCTACCCTTCTATGTATGTGGTCCACAGCAAGGGTTGGTTCATAGACTTCGGCAATAATCTATACATAGAGTGAAAATAATCGCCTAGAAAATGATCTAATTACCTCTCTTATGGTTTGATAAGAATTTGACATATGAATAAATTAATTAGTATATTCTCATGTTATAATAATAAAATTACTCCTCTTCTTATAATTATATAGTAAAAATAATTGCCTAGAAAATGATCAAATTATCTCTCTAGAATTTGACATATGACTAAATTAATTAGAACATTCTCATATTATAATAATAAAATTATTATAATACTTTCATAACAAAATTATAAAAATATTTCTCATAATTAATCAAAATTACGATAATACTTTCTCCTATCATAATTATGAAAATGTCTTATGAATGTTTAATAGCAATTTGATATGTGGCACTTTTATTTCAAAATCAATAACATATATTAAAACAATCCCCTTAATAATTACTATAATAAAACTTTGTTTATTTGATATGATGTTGACATGCATTCAAATTTACTATAATGCCTTTCTACCATAATTACGAAAATATTTATTTTCTTATAATTAGTTAAAAGTATTATAATTTTATCTTACAATAATTACATAAATACCCCTTATAATATAATTGACTAAATTTATTACAATGCCTCAACTACCAAAATTACAAAAATACCCCTTCATAATTGGCAAAAAATTACTATAATGCCTTTCATATAATAACTATAGAAATATTTTTTAGAGTACTTCATGAGAAGTTAAAAAGTGACATTTTGCTTCAAAATTACTATAATATCTCTATTAAATTATATATTAAAATTTAACAAAATATAAAATTAACCACATATTAAATTATTAAAATACTATTACAATTGGTTTTATAAAACTTTGACATGTGACGTTTTATTTAAAAATTACTATAATATCTCTATTAAATTACATATGAAATTTTAACATAATATAAAATTAACTACATATTAAATTACTAAAATACCTTACCATTGCTTCATAAAAATTTGATTTTGAAATTTTATTTGAAATTTACTATAATATCCCTATTAAATTACTTATTAAATGTTAATAACATAAATTAGAACAATTCCTATTGAAATTGCTATAACACTTATTTGTTTATTTGATATGGTTTTGATACGTATCTAAATTTTTTATAATACATTTCTACCATAATTACGAAAATATATCTCTTTTCATAATTAGTCAAAATTATTATAATGCTATTTTACAATAATTACTTAAATGCTCCTCTTACTATAATTGACCAAAATTGTTATAATGCTATTTTACTATAATTACAAAATAGCCCTCATATCATATTTGGTCAAAATTACTATACTACCCCTTTACCATACTTATGAAAATGCTCCTCCTACCATAAGTGACCAAAATTACTATAATGCTTCTCATATCATAATTACGTATAAACTCTTATGAGTATTTTATAAGAAGTTAATATGTGACTTTTTTTTCAAAATTATTGTAATACCCCTATTAAATTACATATTAAATTTTAAAATATTGTAAAATTAGCCACATATTAAATTATTAAAATATCATTATCATTACTTTATAGAATTTGACATGTGACATTTTATTTAAAATAATTAAAACGAAATGATCAAGTGAGATAGATAATTATAATTTTTATTAAAATAAAAAATTAAATAATTTATATTTAAAAATAAAAAATATATAATCCCTAACGTGGTGGGGACTGCACACAAGTTAAAGCTAAAAGGAAATGGATCTGAATATTTGGGTCAATAATAAATATAAGGGTTTGTTTACACTAAGATCGTAATATATCGACCCCTTATTCTAGGGTCATGAGATATCATGATATCTCATTATATATCATGATAAATTATGAGAATAATATAACTTAAAAAAAGAAAGACAAAGGGAAGAATAGGTTAACAAGTAAACATTACAAAAGTACACAAAATTTTATTTAATTTATTAATTTAACAAATAAAAATGATATATTTTTAATTTTATAATATTAATTTATTTTACGAAATCAACTTAATTAATTACATTTAATAATATATTTTTATACTTTTTTAACATTACATTTAAAATAATTAAAATATTTTCGAGAATAAGACATTTCAAACTCATTTTAAATCTTATGATATGAATTCTATGATTATTTTCATCTTTTTACGTTAATAATTTTTTTATTTAGAATCTTTTAATTTAAAAATATCAATTCTTTTACATTTCAAGTTAATTATTTATTTTAATTTTTGTTACACCTGTTCTTACTTTCTGTTTCATTTAGAATTATCATAATTCTTTCTTAAGGTATTATGATGTCAAATGATATCAATTTTACGATTATTTTTACTTTTTTACGTTAACATTTATTTTTTGTTTAAAATTGCTTTTTGTTTATAATAATAATTTTTTATGTTACCGATTTAATTATTTACATTATAATAATATGATTTTACACTTGTTCTTATCTTTTATTACGTTTAGAATTACCATAATTTTTTTTAAGGTATTACAATCCTTCTAATACATTTTATGTCAAATGATACAAATTTTACGATTATTCTCACATTTTTATATGAACACTTATTCTTTTGATTGAATTATTTATTTATTTATTTATAATAATAATAATAATTCTTTTATTTTGTCAACTTAATTATTTACATTAAAATAATATTTTTTTACAGTTGTTCTTATATTTTATTACGTTTAGAATTATCACAACTCTTTCTTAGGGTGTTACGATAGTTCTTACTTATTTTATACCAAGTGATACTAATTTTATGACTACTATCATCTTTTTATGTTACGATACTTTTAATACATTTTATGTTAAATTATATCAATTTGACGATTATTATCACATTTTTACATTAATACTTATTTTTAGGATTAAAATTATTGTTTATTTATAATGCTAATTTTTCTACATTACAAGTTTATTACATTTTAACAATCTCTTTTTATGCTTATTGTTACTTTTCATTACATTTAAAATTATTATAATTTTTTTTATTAAGGTGTAACAATACTTTTAACCATTTTATGTAAAATAATATTAATTTTATGATTATTCTCACCGTTTTATGTTAAATCTTATTTTTTATTTTAAAATTATTTTTTATTTGTAATAATAATTTTTTTACATTACCAACTTAATTATTTACGTTATAATAATATCTTTTTATACTTGTTATTACCTTTCATTACATTTACGATTATTATAATTTTTTCTTATGGCACTTCTAACCATTTTATGCCAAATGATATCAAATTTATGATTACCCTTGTATTTTTTATATTAACACTTACTTTTTAGTTTAGAATTATTATTTATTTGTAATAATAATTTATACATTGCCAAAAATATTATTAATGTTACAATAATTTTTTTTTTTATACTTTTTCCTACTTTTTATTACATTTAAAATTATCACAACTTTTTGTTAAAATGTTACGACACTTCTAATCCAATTTATGTCAAATGACATCAATTTTACAACTATTCTTATCTTTTTATTATAAACACCTCATTTAGTTTGAAGTCTAAATCGGTTGAACTCGATTTTGGCCCAAAAACCCAAATTAATGGGCTCAAATTTGATCCAAGCTTAAGTCATGTTTTTACTTTATTTATCTATATATTATTAATTTATTTTATTATTTATTTTATCTTGCTTATTTGTTGTTTATCTTTAATTGTATTTTCTTGTATTTATCTAATTTTTTAATTTAACTGGTTATTTCACAAAAAAAGGGATAATTGAAAAAATAAATGGTCAAAATTTGATTGGTGAAGGTTGGTCAATGATGGGGTTGGATTGGATCTCTACTTTCAAGTGATAATTCATGTTTTAATTTTTGAAATATTCATGGATGATTTTTCTTGGAATAAAAGCTAATTTTAATTCAGTGATAAGAGGGAAGTTTCAATTTTTGAAGAATTTAATCTTCATCTAAACACCGATTAAGCTAGTATTGCCCTATAAAAAGACATGCAATCATCAGTCACTATAAGGAGAGGAACACATAACAAGAGGAAAAAGGCACAGAGAAAAATAAGAAAAAAGAGCAGTAGTAATCACACAAAAAGCAAGTCAAAGTTTTTAGGCAGTAAAGATTTTTTTTGAAGAAATTTATTCTTTTGAGGAATCTAATTTATTTTGGAGCTTGATTCAGTCTAATCTTGAAGAAATTTGTGATCTATAGAGCTTAGAAGAATCGAATTGGTGTTTTTGTAGAATTTTTGAAAAATTTGAAAAACTTAAAATTTTTGGCAAAATTCATATTTTCCAAACATATTTCGGCAAAATTTTTAGAATTTGGCAACTAAGTGTAGAATTCGATAGTTGAACCCAGATTCTAGTTGGTGACTGATGAACTTTTCGATGGGCTTTTATAAAATCCGACCATAAATTTTTGCTTCTAGAGTGAGAAATTATGATAGTGAAAAGAGAGAAAGGAAAAATAAAGTCTGAAGAAAAAAAAAGGATTTTATAGCTTTTATACAAAAGCTAAATAGCGCAATTTTGGAGAAAAAAATCCCCTGGATCTGCATATTACTCAAATTCGACTTGACCTAACCTAGTTGCCATTCGACCCGCGTAAATAACAATATCTAAGTCTAGTCGAGCCGTAAGTTGCTCCAACCTATTTTTTTTCTGAAATCGTGCCTAACTCAAGCTAAGCCGAGCTGCGATTATTTTTGGTATTTTTTTCTTCTTTTTATTAGTTTTTTTTATTTATTTATGTATTTTTTCAGTGAATTTTTTAAATATTCCTAAATACCAATTTTTTTAAATAAAAATATTTCAAAAAAATTTTTTGAGGAAAAGTTAAAGTATCAATTTTTCTTAAATAAAAAATATATAATAAAAAATATTTTGAAGAAAAGTTGAAGTACCAACTTTGAAGAAAAATAAATAAAAAATATTTCCAAAAATGTCTAAGGAAAAATTAACGT